AAAAAAAAAAAAAAAATGGCCTGATTTTTTTTCTTAACAAGTATATGATTGAGATGGTTTTTTTTAAAGGTTTATCAAAATTACTCATTTCCAATTTACCTCCAAAACTACATTTAAACTTCTCAAGGCGCCTCAGAATTAATTTCTCTTTTAAAACTACCTTCAGGCTTTTTGTTATAAATCATTCATCTCAGCCAAGTGTATTATATTTTTTCATATATTTTATGCATTTACTTAAAGTATTAAGTGAAGAAAAGTAGTTTTTATACATTAAAAAGCAACCACATCATCTCTATGGATTAAACAAAAATAGACTAACTTAGCTATATTGTTCCTACTTTTTTAAAGATTTATTTATTTATGCATACAAGAACTGTGATATAGGCCAGAGATGCAGGGGGTGGGGGGAAGAGGATTCACCAGAGACAGTGGAGAGTACAACAGTCGCATCTACTGAAATCCACTGCTGAGGGGAGCAGCTGTGAGACAGGAGAGGTCTGCTGTGCCTTGTGGTCAGCTCCCTAGCCAGGGATTGGATTCGTGCTACAGTGGCTGTGGAGAGCTTCATGTTGCTGAGAATTACCCCTGTGCATCACCGAGGAGGCCCTTGTTCCTACTTTAGAAAAGAGAATGTTAGGGTGCCCTACACCAGAGCAGAATGGAGACTTATTAGCATGTAAGATGCCATAAAGAAACGAGCCTGAAGAGTCTCTGCGACTAGTCTTTAGCTCCTCCCACTCAGCCAAGAAGGCAACATGGAGCAGTCTCCTGCTGCTCCCCTCAGCAGTGTGTTTCAGTCAGACTGCCTGTTCTCCTGACCAGTAAATATGTCTCATTCAGGCTTGCTTCTATGAAACCCAGTTGTGGAATAACAACCAGTGGGGGTTGTAATGTAACCAAAATGGCTACATTACAGATGTTTGCCAGGATATAACTTAAGTCATAGGCAGGAAGAAACTGCAATTGCATCTTGTTTATTGAGCCCAAAGTCTCCAGCATTTAAGAAAAAGGAATGTTTGGTCTTGAATCATGCATTACACAGCATTTATTGGTGTAGTTGGGAACAGCAGAAACCTATTACAACTCATTAGAAATATTAGCAAATACATGTTTTGATGTGGATTCAGTGTTCCAAAGGGCAAGTCATAGGACTGAGGACTTTATGGTAGAAGGTAAAATCCTAATAGAATTGTGTTTACTCTTCCCCCTTTTGCAACACTGTAAAAATTACACTAACTTTACCTAGCCATCATTTTTAACCAGGCTTGCTCACTCCAGAACTAAGAAATAGTACTTTTTTCTAGAAAATAACTACTAATTTATCAGTAGATAGTACCTTGCCAATCACCAAGGCCTTCCACTACTCCACTCCTGGGAATAGTACCAGGAAACTGCAGAGAAGTTAAGTAAGGTTGGCTGGGTCACCCAGCTAAACAACAGAGCAACGAAGATCACAGCCACAGAACAAGCAGGCTGACAGCTGGGGACAGGCAGACTCAAGACCTAATGTCAGCCCAGCCAGTGACACTAACCTAGCAAGGTGTATGACCTCTCAGAGCTTCACCTTTTTGTTCTGAAGATTTATTTATTTATGCATACAAGCACTGGAGTGTAGGGCAGAGGTGCAGGGATATGTATGTGAGGATTCACCAGAGACAGAGTGGGGAGCAGAACAGGCAGTCTGACTGAAACACACTGCTGAGGGGAGCAGCAGGAGACTGGAGAGGTCTGCTGCGCCCTGTGGTCACCTCTCCGGCTGGGGATCAGACTCGGGTACAGTGGTTGTGATAGCTGGATATAACTGAGATTTTAATTCCTGCACCGCCAGGGAGGCCCAGCTTCATTGTTTTAACCACAAAATACATGTAATACCCACCTCACAGATTTGTGAGAATAGAAAATAGATCTGAAAAGCACCCAACATTAATTTGCAACATGTCTACTGGAAATCAGCCTCTCTCAGTTGACACATCCATCAAAAAGAAGTAATAAAGCCCATCAAGGAGGGGCCAGTGTGGGAATTCCTGAAACAAGCCTCATGGTTGGATTTCTCTCCTTGTACATTTCCAGGCCTCATCCTCTGCACACACACTCCTGCCCAACCCCCAAAGCTGCTTCAGTGGAAATGGGAAGTTAGCCTGTTAAAAAATGTTTAAGACCAAAAAGTTACCTTCAACAATTTTTATTCTATGTCAACAAGCATTTGACTTCTGTATTTAATTTATAACTTTTTTCAGAGGAAAAAAAAAAGTGACCAGAACACAGCCAAAGTCCCTAGATAATCTCAACATTCCTGAAGCCCACATGGTGATAATATACCAGTTTCAACCCATCCCATCTCACCATCTAAGAGCTTCCTTTTTTTTCAAGTCAGGGTGTCACTTTAATTTAATCAAAGGGTAGATGGAGTGGGAACCATAACGAGGAATATAAAAAGAAAAGAAAATATTGAATTCAACCGAGAGGAAAAGTTTGCTTACAAATCTAAGTTCTGTTCCAAAAAGATCACTAACATAGGTTAACTGCTAATATTTCCTGTAATATTTCCACGTCTGGCCACTTCATCATAAAGCAGGATGCATCCAACACAATATCTTCTCTAGCACCCGTCCGTGGCGGGCTCTGGAAACTGTGCTCACGTGTCAGCTTTAGAGTCCTCTTCAGTCCAAGCGCGGTGTCAATCAAGTTTCTGATCAATTCTCAAAGGCAAGACTTCAGGGGACCGATCTTCCCCTGTCGTGAGGACTGTCGTGTATTTATCTATTCTCGGGAAGTACTGTGGCTAAGTTTGGATTTATTTCCACAACATGCACGTCATTTACCCCCACCGCTGAACGCCCAGTTGGAGGGGATTCCCTTCAAATGTTCAGAGTAGTCGTTTTTAGAATGAAGGTGCTCAGAATCTTGCACCATTTGCATTTTCGAAACAGAAAAAGTTTCCTTAGCAAGCACCTTTAAGTTGCAAGCACACAGCCAATTGGGGGCTGGGGGAGTAACCCTATTATCAAAACACCTAAAGCATTAATGTCTTTTTCCTGAATTTAGCCCTGGAGCGGGGATGACAATCCAAACCATTCGGAGGGAAACCTAGACCAGACACCCAATGCGGCCATGCTACGGCCACGGGGGTCGGGCATCCGCTAGCTGCCGGCCTCCTCCGGCTCGCTGCAGGGCGAGGGTGCCGAGGAGGCCTTGGATTCGCCGTCGCTGTTGCATTCAGCCCGGCGTGGGGCGCCGGAGCCGTCCGGACGCTCCTGCTCCAGCGCGTGGCATTCCAGCAGCTCCTGGAGGTGCCTGATGTAGCCGATGGCGGCGCGGAGCGTCTCCACTTTGCTGAGCCGCTTGTCCGCCAGCTCCCGAGGCAGGTGGTCCCGGAGGCGCGCGTAGCCCTCGTTCACGCAGCGCACCCGCTGCCGCTCCCGCTCGTTGCGCTTGCGGAGGAAGGCGGGCTCGAAGGCGCCCTCCAGCGGCAGGGACAGGTAGGGCCGCCTCGGGGCGCCGCCCGCGTGCGCCCGCGGCCAGCACGCGGCGTCCAAATGCAGGGACACCCTGCAGGGGTCCCTTACCGGGAGGCGAGGGAGAGTCTCCGGCATCCCCAGGGGCCCCGTGCGGAAGTGGTAAGGCCAGGTCAGCAGTCCGGCGGGTTTACGTTTTTCCATCATTCCCCGGAAAGCAAACGCCTTAATCTCTGCAGAGATGAATCGCTCAGCAGAAGAGGAGATTTAAAATCTTCAAAGCCGAGAAACTGGTCCATTCAGACTGCTTAACACAGTCTCTCTTTGGACAAGTTTCTGAGTCCCCGAAGCTAGGTTCCAGGCGAGGCTTCAAGGAAACTTTGCACGATTCTCTAAATCCATTGCACTCCTGGGTGTTTTTATAAAGATCCCGGACGGAGGTGATAGGCGAAGTTTTAGGAGCCCCTAATCCACACTTCAAACCCCTTCTTCCCCTCTGATCTTTGAGTCTTAAAAAAATAACAAAAGGGTCCCTCAGCTTGTCCCCTAGCCTGGAAATGCGAGCGCACACCAAACACCGGGTAATCTCCCAAAGCCACCCAAGCTTTTCAATTACTGTAATCCACCGCTCTGGGTCTTCAAGAGCATAGGAATCAGCAAGGTTTCAGAAGCGCTCCTCCCAGGAACCAACAGATATCCCCGCGGCAGAGAAAGTTTACCAGAGGCTTTCTCCTTGAAAAGTCAAACTTGACTGTCCTTTGTGGTTTCCGGCGTCCAGGGCTAATGGAAAGAGCTTTTAGATTGTTTGCAAACTTACACTTGCTCTTTCATTTCTCGGGAGGTGGAGGGAAGATCTCATCAAAGAGAAGACTGCTCCCTTGTGGTTACAAGATGTGTCAAGTCAAGGATGACCCCGGGGGAGGCTTGAGGGTTTTCTTCTCAAAAAAAAAAAAAAGCAATCTTTCAAAGACCTAATTAGACTTTTATTTTTGAAGGGACCAGGAAAAAAAAATACACTTTAGCGACCAAGAGAAGGGGCTGCAAAGTGCGTCCCGCTTGGCTTCAACACATGCACTTCATGTATTTGTGCTTCTTTTTAAAAGCACATCAAAAGGCTGAACAGCAGCAAACACTTTTAACCGGAGTTATTTCTCGCCCTGCTTACAGTAAACACAGTTTAGACCCTGCTTCCCAACCTCTTCTAATCCCACCCAGGATATAAGGACCTCATCTTTCCATAGTACAAAGATTATATTTCTATTGTATTCTTTTTGTCTTAAAAAAAATGATGCAATTTATTTTCTCCGTTGGGGGCAGGAAAGCAACATTTGAAAGGTGGAGAGCCCCAGTTGCAAGGGAAAAGTTTGACGGCTTTGAAGACTTGTCTTTTTAGCCCACAACCAAAAAATGAATAATTAATCCATCCAAGTTGGTGAAGGGCTTTGAAGATGAAAGTGTCATTAAAAATCCAACTGTACTGGGTAAAGTCAAAGAATGTGTTATCACCCTGAAAAATCAGATTTCCTGTTCTGCAAACCAGCACATTAAAGGCAACTTCAACTTTAAAAGTCCAACTTGAAAACAAGAGAAGCAAAAACCCCCTACGTTTATGATCAGACTTTCTGCCTAATATTCTTTGCCAACCAAGGTGTCGCCCTAACATGTTTTTTTTTTTTTTTTGACAATTCTAGGCTTCCCTGTTTATGCTAAGTGGTCTACCCAAAGCAACTGGAAAAACACTTCCATCAAGGCAAATGAAATAGAAATAATTATTCCTTTCAGGCATAAGTTAGTCACTCTTTCCTTCTTTCTTTCTTATTTATTGATTTATGCATTCAAGAACTGGGATGTAGTCCAGAGGTCTATGGCAGGGTAGTGAGAGGACTCACCACAGAGTGGGAGCCGACCAGGCGGATGTATTAAAATCCATTGCTGAGGGGAGCACCGGGTAAAACAGAAGAGATCTGCTGCGCCATGTAGGTCAGATCCCTGGCCAGAGTTTGAATTGCTAGCTCACTAGCACTGTCTTTAACCTCTTCGCTACCCAGGAGTCCAGTTTGTCACATTTTCAAAGGTATATCTCCTTAGGAAGCTTGTACCAGCAACAGTCAAAATGTCATTTGACTTCTCAGAAGACTGAGAACATCACAATAGTCTTTCCTATTGGGAGAATCCCACAGGAGAGACAATTAGTCCACAAGTTATCAAAGGTTTTGGCCTTTTTTGTATGCATGATGGGAAATAAACAGAGAGGTGACATCATTGGATTGGTGTTTCAAAAAGATCATGCTTCTGCAGTGGAAAGTAAACTGGAATTCAGTAAACAGGAGAACAGTTAAGAGATACTTTTTAAACCCTCAGATTGGCAACAATTAAAAAGATTGTGATAACAAGCAATAAAAACCAAAAAAATTGCTAACATCCAGAATAGGCAAGGATTTGAGGGAAGGGAAGGAGGCATAAATTGTTACAAATTTTTGAAAAAGTAACTATTAAAATTAATAGTAAATATTACATGTCCCTTGACCTAGAGATGGCTATGATTTTGTCCCATAGAATTAAAGGCACCAGAACATGGAGAGCTGAAAAAAAAAAAAAAAGAATTAAAGGCACCAGGGTAGAAGTAGAAAGAGTAGTGCTGATTGTGGCATTGCTTATAGTGAGTAAAAAAGGGGGAAAATCATAACCTGAATATCCATCAATGGGGAAAGAGCTAATACTTTTAGAATATTGTGCTAGTATTAAACATAGAGTTAGTTCTGTATATAAATGTCCATGAGTTAAGTAAAAAAAAAAAACAAATTATAATGTAACACACACAGCATAAATTTAAAACAAATTATTCTACAGCATGTATATGCCTTTATATGTACTTGGCCACAGAGAATGAAATGGAAACACACTAAAAATTTTGTCATTGGTTGTCTTAAAAAGGTGGCATGGAACTGGGGGGGTGGGCGGTGGAGGGAAATGCACGGGATTATGGTGATGGCACATGGGTGACTTGGTGATGGGAAACCCACAGGGATTACAATTGAGATGGGAAAAAAATGTACAAAAATGATGTAAAAATAAACTTTTGTTAAAAAAAAATCTACATGATACCAAGCAAGATGGCCTCCTAGACCATCGGTGGAATACACCTCCCACGCCTTGGAAAAAAAAAGGTGGCATGGGGTGTCCATTTTTCTTTTTTGACCTCTCTACTGTTTCATTTATCACAGAAGATACACATTAGTTTTAACAGAGTAAGGCCTCCCTCCACAGTTACAATCTGGGGCCACCTCCCTTGAAATTAGTACAGTTTGTTCAGATATGATTAGTGTTCAGGATTGACAGTCTGAAGAGTTAGTGGAACACACAAGAGGGTGTCCTTTTATACTCCTGGGGGGAATTAAGCCAAGAACTTGAAACTCTCCGATGCAAGAGAAAAATGTTTTCAAATACTAGAGCTTTAGTCTTTTAGATGCTGTTAACAGTTTCCAACGATCAGAGCAGAGAATCACTAATACACAAAAGGAGGGAGATGGACTTTTCAGATTGGCCATCAAAAAAAAAAATTACCCCAAGATTCAGTGGCTAGAAACAATCAGCGTTTATTTCATTCTCGAGCTTGGGTGCCAATGGTCTGGGCTCAGCCGTAGCATTTGTACCACGTTCAGAATCAAGAGGCAGAAAAATAAAATAAAAACACTCCACCTCTTCCTGGAGTGTGCTGTGAAGTGACCTTACAGGCCTGATTATGGAAAGGAATGGAGAATTGGGGCCATTCTGTTTTGCTCTCCCATCCTAAAATGATTACATGATTTGAACTAGCCACATTTCAAGTGCTCAGTCATGATGTAGGGCAGGTGGCTGCCTACGGAACAGGGCAGTTCTAGTGTTCTAACACTCTAGCAACTCCTCAGACTTGTCAGGCATTCTGCTTTGGGGCTTTTGCATTTTTCCTTCCCTCTGCCTAAAACATTTTTCCTCCAGCTATCCACAGGAAGCACCCCCTCATCTCTTTTGGTTTCACTGATGACTTCCCTACTTACAATTGGAGCCCCCATTCCCAAGCATTTTCTGTTTGTCTTGCCTATCACAATACTATTTTTCTTGGTAGTGTTTGATACCTGGAATAGTCTATATTTATTTTCTGTCTTCCTCCATTATAATGTAAGGTACATAAAGACTGGTGGGTTTTTTTTGGGGGGGGGTGGAGGAGGATCTGTTTTTGCTCACTGCTGTATTCCCAGTATCTAGAACAAGGCCTGCCACATAGTAGGCACTTAACAAGTGTTTGTTGAATGAATACTAGCCTTCCCATGCCTTCCTGCCAATATCAAATAAAGCAATGAGTCAACGAATCTATTATAAAATATTTTCTTTGTATTAGGTTGATAGGAGAGAATCCCAAGAAAGCCAAAGAACAGGTTTACCTACTTTAAAAATCAGATTTCCAGGCCTTCTTTAACATAAGAGATCAGAAGCAGGATTTGAACCCTTAATGAGAGTTCATTGAAAGAAAGATAACTTAAGCAGCCCAATCCAGGTCCCAGTTTACCGGTAACTGGCTTTATTTCAGGGCTAGCCCATAGTCTTTAAAGGTAATTTCTCCCTTGCATCTTTGAGCAAACCTGTTGATGGCTGTTGATCTGGTTCTTCTTATGTACGGATCTCTCTGACAGCTACACTTGATTGCAGCCCTACATCTTTCACACTTCTAGTACTTGGGCTCTAAAAGAACATTCATGCTTTTCTACTTGAATGATTGGTCAGTAATCCTCCCAGTCTTTATTGTCTTAACAGTAATTTGGTATCAAAGTAGGGTGTTACCCTAAATTAGCCTTGTAGGCAACCTCTGGGCATTATTTTTGCTGTATGTCGCCAATAGACATGTGAATCAACAAGAATATTGTGTTATGCTTGTTTGGTTGGGGGTGCCCTGTGACAGAAGACGAAAAGAATAGTGATTCCTTAATGGCAAAGACGTAATTTTCTGACGGGGGTTTCTGTTTTTCCATCTATCTTTTGAGAGCTTTCGATTTTCTAAGTCATTTTGACCTAAAGGAATGCCGATGCTATCTATTCTTAGAGGAGGGCAAAGGTTGGAAAGGGCGAGGGGAAGGAGATTAGTAGTTTTCCTGGCTTCTAAAAAAATTGTATTGTGGCAACCCAAAGTACAAGTACCTGTAGCTAAACTCTTCTTCAGCTGGCTCCTTGGTCACAGCGGAGACTGAAAGATTGTCTTACCCGCTGGCCGCCCTCACAGAAACTGTTCTGACTTTAAGCCTATGCCGATGCCTTCTTGTCTACCAGAAAGATCACAGTGTGTTCACACACTCAATGTTTTCCGGGTGAAAGAAGGAATCCTTTGGTCTCTTGCTGTTCTAGAAGCTTCCAGCCACTGTGTTGTAGTGTCTGTCCAGTCTTCAGGCGCTTTGTAACATTTTCCTTTAAAACCATCACAGTATCTCCAGGGCCCGGCATCAGGAAGGAAAGAAGGGCAAAGAGAGAAGGGGGAGGGAATTTGTACAAAAATCCCAAACACCATTCTTTCTAGCTTGAAGCAGGGAAACTGGGTTAACTTCAGGTGTAATGTGGGGAAGACGTTCGTGCTACGGCAACCTCATCAACATCTCTGGCTAAGTCCCTTATTTCGAATCTCGTGCGCTTCCGCCGACAGACCCTTGCCTAGTTAGTAGAACGCCAAGATGAGTGAAACGCTGAGTCTGGCGGTTTTAAGGGACTCGGAACTCCTTGCGTGCTCCGCAGCCCTGGTTGCCTAGCAACTGTGGGTCGATTGCGCGGCGCTCGACTCCCTGCGGGCGCGCTGGACGCCGCGCTCCAGGCTGAGCGTGGGGCCGGGCCCACAGTGCGCACGCGCAAGAGGCTCTGGGCGGGGGTTGGGGCGCGCCGGCGGGGGGGGCGCGCCGGCGGGGGGCCGCTGTCCGAGCGCTACGGGGAGGGGCGCACGCACAAGGGGTGGAGCAGCGGGCGCCCCGAGTGGCTCAGCAGCCGGAAACGCGCCTCCCTCGGAGGGTGCGGCCCTGAGGAGGCGGCGGGCAGG